TTATGGTAGATGCTCTTTGAGTATAGTATGATCGTTTATCGCATATCTATGGTCTCATTCCCGGTTGTATAAATACATTTCATCCTGGCTTTTGGTGCAGCAAAATGGTGCAATGTTATAAGTATTCTACTTTAACCCGATGCTGGTTAACCGTGTGTGCTTATGTGGAGGTGCGACTCGAACCTCCCCATGCGCCTCAGCACCCGTCAGTGAACCGAGCGTCCGGAGAGGGCGGGGAATCTTGCAAATCTTACAATCGTACTGATGGGACGGTTTGTGGCGTCCCTTCGCCGCAACTAATACCACGGTCCAGTCTCGAAAAATTGAAGACCCTCTCCACTTCAACGTGGTTATCGGATAGCATGATGAATACACCCTGTTTATGAGCAACGGATTCGATCACGACTGAGGTGCCCCGTCGGTAAAGTGGGCGGATCGGAACTTTACTCGCTACATAGGGCTCGAAATCTAAATTTTGACGATATCCTTTCCATAGCAAACAAAAATGAATATCGTGCTTTGCATTAAAAACTTGATGTACCCGAAGTATCCGCATTCGTAGCCATCTCCATACCCTTGTCCGGAAAAATTTATTCTACGGATATGGATACTGCCGTATCCAATGTGGATAGTAGCCTTATCCAATGCGGTGCTAATGCGGTGGGTAGGGATGCAGCCCGGCGTATCCGGATGTTACCCAGATGGGGATCCGGATACCAAAATGATCAAGTCTACTACCTGTAGCTTTCTTGATCGCTCTAAAAATTATGCCGTCCGCATCCCTGAAAAAAGAGGGGGAACATAGCGGGGCTATTGCTGTCGCTATGAATTCCCTCTGGCTCTTCCCACACACTAGCTGACCACGCAACGCGCACGCGCCTTTTTCGTCAATAGCTAATGAACAGGGATCGGATACATCTGGTTAACATGCCCGCAGGTCAATTCAGCGCCAAATCGATCGCTTGCCCGCCACCACGGTGATACCTTCGGGTCCGCTAGCTCGTTCTTCCAATGTCTAAGAATGGGTTCACTGTTCTAGCATCGCGCCTTTTCAACCGTGGCTCGCGAACCCTTCGATTTTTGCGCATCTTGCCTTGCAAAAATGAATTGCAACTCTTCAGCATCTTTTCTATCCAGATAAACATATATCACGACCAGGGTTGAAAAGCCGCTTCGCGACTTTTCAACCCTGGCCCCAGCTGATCCCATGATATTCGTCCCTTTGCATAATTCACGCGATTTTCGCTGACAAAAAATGAGAAACGGGACCTCTCTTCTCTTATATAGGCTACCGCACTTCCGGCGTATGCTAATTGTTTCCTAACAAAGAGGGTTCTCGATTTTTCAAGAAAAAACTTAATTTTAACATCCAAAACACGGAATTTTTGCAAATTTTATGGGTGTTCAGTCATCCCACGGCCATTACGCACCTAATGAGGTATAAAACATACCCCTAACTGCCCCCTTCTTGAGATAATACTGGAACACGCTGACGGAAGTTGCATGCGATTCCCTGTCACGATTTCGAAAATCACCATTTCGAAAATCACCATTTCGAAAATCACGATTTCGAAAAATCACGATTTCGAAAAACACCATTTCGAAAGTCACCATTTCGAAAAGACACCATTTCGAAAAGACACCATTTCGAAAATCACCATTTCGAAAAGTCACCATTTCGAAAATCACCATTTCGAAAATCAGCATTTCGAAAATTACCATTTGGGAAACACAGGATTTAGCAATAGCCCATTTCCCAGTCGCAGAAAAAAAAATGATTTTCGTTGGCTGGTTTGAGGTTCGGGGGGTCTATTTTTCCACTGGAGATATGATTAATTTATTATAGACACCAATAAAACAATTTCTATTACATCACTAGTCATATCCGAGAAAAACCGTGGTTTTTTGACACTGCAATTTTTATGCCTGTTTGAAGACCGGATCTTTTCGAACTGGGGATTTTTTCGAAATGGTGTTTTTCGAAATGGTGTTTTTCGAAATCGTGACTTTTCGAAAGGGTGATTTTCGAAATGGTGATTTTCGAAATCGTGACCGCCAACCGTTGCATGCAAATGCACACACATACACACACAGACACTATTTTTTTATATATAGTAGGATTCTGCACTCTTTTATCCTGATATTTCTGAACAAGCAGGGACAGCCGATTTTTCGACTCGTACGAAAATTGAATTTGATCTCCGAAAATCGCGCATTTCCGTATTTTAATAAGTGCGCGGACATCTCGGGCCTATGCCACACCTGCTGCCCTACCACCCATATCTTCGAATCCTTCACCTATCGAGATTTCTCCCAGAAACGCTGAAGGGCATTGTCTGAAGTGTCACAGACACATAGACGGACACTATTTCGGCTAACTTTAGGTAGATGGACAGCGATGAGGTGGGCCGCTGCAATAAAATACCCTTTCGGAATCTCCCCGGCAACAACATGAAGCTGTTCTTTCTCGGGTTTCCCTTGCAGAGCGGGCCAAGCTATGTTATGCTAGTAAGGTCAGTAGTCCTCATGCAACCCCAAATTTTCGAACGCTTGCAGATATTTCGTAATGGCTCGCTAATGGCCACGTTGATGGACACGCCTTGGCTCGAATTCCGGTGCGAATTCGTCGATAGAGAAGTGGGCGTAGTTCACTAACAAGGAGACGTTTTTGAGTGTCGTCGGGATTTTGGCACGGGACCAAGCCTATCTTGTGCAGAATTTTACGCTGATTCCGAATATGTTAACCGTTTTTGCGGAATAGCCATTTTTCGAAAGTTATGAACGATTTAAACCTCAAAACAGCCCAAAATCGGCTACTTTCAATAGTCATAAAAGGCTTCAAAATAGGTTTTAGACAACGCCAGATAGTACATCTTGTTCAGAAAAAAATTTTCTATAAAATAAGCTACTTAACTCAAAAACGTTGGAATTTTGAAAATTTTTGTAAAATTATGGACCTCCCAATTTATCAAATTTTTCCAACTTTTCAATGATTTTGGAAAAACTGGTACATTTTATAGAGAATTTTTTTCTGAACAAGATGTACTATCTGGCTTTGTCTAAAACCTATTTTGAAGCCTTTTATGACGATTGAAAATAGCCGATTTTAGGCTGTTTTGAGGTTTAAATCGTTCATAACTTTCGAGAAATGGCTATTCCGCAAAAACGGTTACCATATTTGGAATCAGCGTAAAATTCTGCACAAGATAGGCTTGGTCCCGTGCCAAGGTCCTGACGACACTCAAAAACGTCTCCTTGTAAGCCTAACATGCTGAAGCACTAGGCATTTCCAGTGCTTTTTGAATTTTGCGATGTGACGTAGCTCAATCGATCGAGCTTGGAATTCTGACCAAGTTCCATCTAAATTTACTGAAAGAGTACTGTCTAGGAGAAAATTTGCTGAAAAGGGCGCTTTTTGGCCCACGCTGAACAAAGGGAAAGCCTTGAGAAACTTTTTATCGAAGACCCCTATAGGTCAGCGGTTTTTTTCAGAATTTCGAGCTCATCGAAGGAGCCGTGCTGCATCTGAAAACTAAGAGAGCGTAAAAACCAATTCTCGTAAACCTAGGCCTAAGCAAAACCTAAATAAACTTAAGCCTATGCCTAGGTTTTAAATTGGCTGAAGCTTAAGCCTACGCATTGTTTTGACGGTATTTCAGAGGCCGGCGATCATTTTTTGAAAGTCATATTGCCGAAAAACACTTTTTCGAAAAGTCAGTTTTCCGAAAATGTGTATGCAAATAATTTCAGATGGTGCTACGCTGGATTGGAACCAGCGGGAACTTGGTAGTCCAGTTCGAGCCGCTGACGAGCAGGATCTGGGCGCATCCCTTCGAGTAAGTTCAGCTGCTATCGAGTCATCAAATCATCGAATCGAATCAGCGTATTCGTTCGCGATGAATCGATTGGGATTGGTGGCGTCGCCTCTGCGGCAAAATCGATAAAATAAGTCGAATCAGGGAATTCGAAATGACGCTTTTTCATTGACAAAATTCCAATTTTGCAGTGACGCCCCAATAGAAATTATTGGTGACCAACCGTGGCGAAATTTGGATATTATGACGGCGCTCAACTACCTATTGCACTCACGTCCCACGCGAGACGTTCAAAAGACGCTGGCCATATGCTCGAAGCGATCCAGAGTGGTGGGTTATCAAAACAAAAACATCGGAATATCAATAATCAAGGGTAAGAGTTTACTTTACCCCCCCACAGCAGAGGGTCTCAAAGTTTTCGGTATTTTCGCTTATTTTGTCGGGATTTTTGCAACGCCATTCGATAGAGCGTCGAAAAATATACTAAGAGCTAATTTGAGCCAACAATAAGGTAAAATAAAAAGTTATAGCCAAAAACTTCCGGCTGGGGGGTAAAGTAAACCGTAGCCTAATCAAGAGTATCAAAATATCCTACCTTATATAATTTGGTCGCGTATCTTTGTGTGTGTGTCCGGCGCCAGGGAGGGCTACTTTGCATAATTCCAAAAAATACAAATTTCCTCATTCTTGCAAGTTGCACGCGCGGGTGTGGCCGATGGACCCAAGCTCTCGGAAAGTCAAATTTCTCATGCAAAGGCCGCATTCCAGCGCCCAAGGCCCGCGAAGCGGGTTTTGGGCGCTGGTCAACCATAAAAATTTCGGCTCAAGGCTAGGAAACCCCCCCCCCCAGCCGACTTTTCAACTTTTCTACCTTTCTTATCTTTATTTTTCGCTACTTTTTTCGACTGAAATGCAGTGTAGTCTTACTAATTAGCCTACGGCGAACATTTTGGTATACTTTAGAGCTCGCTAGCACAAAGGGGGGCCGAGAATTGGAGAATTTGTATCTCGGCCCGAGATACAAAAGTTGGTGCCGGCTGGGGGGTTTCCTAGACTCTTACCAAAATTTCCAAACAGGGGAAATCATGAGCCGCTTCGAAATTGAGCTCTTTTCCTCGGGTGCTGTATTGCTGGTTCACGCTTACCTATCCCGGTATTCAAATGAACCTCCTCAAAGCCATTATTTCGAAATTCATTATCTCGAAGCTTCCAAGACATCAAAGGCAAACAGAATTGGCAATTGGCATTACCGGGCCCTAGGGAAATTACCAGGTTTCCAGATGATCACTGGATCCCCATGATCACAACATGATTCTACCAACTCTCTCCGGTGCCACGACATTTTCGGCCCGTCACTTGCGGACGCGACAGTTGCGGCCCGCCTTGCCTGAAAATGCTTTAGACCCTTACTAACCCTCTGTCTAATTTTATATTGGGAAAAACGGGCTTAATAGGACGGGCCGCAAATGTCGGGCGCAAGTGTCGGGCCGCAAATGGTCGGGCCGCAACTGTCGGGGAGCCCCTCTATCCGTACCCCCGCCCCCTCCTCTCCCCAGCGGTCTTGAGACTGTCCGATTTTCATGACTTATGTATCAATTAAAAACTCAGGCCATAATTAGTAGCTATCTTTTCAGATCTTCGAAATATCGGAATTATTGCGCATTTTATGTACAAGGCGCTTCGTGAAGCTATTGGATTGATCGACCGAAATCCAGCAAAAAAAATCCGGGATTTTGAAAATCGGCAAAAACATGTCCGCCTCGCCCTGTCGAGAATTTTCGATTAATTCTTAAAGGGATGAGGACGGCATTTCTTGACCCCCCCCTTCCCTTGGGAGGGGGGGGGGGGGGTCAACAGATGCAGCGGCGAGAGAGGGCGCCCAGGGGAGAGGCACGGAGACATTTTTCCCGCGTGTAATCGATTGACTTATGCCGCCCCTTTCCTTTTAAAGCATCAAAATCGGACCCTCCTGCGGACCGATTGGGAGGGGGATTTTTGTGAGCCGACCCTGTAAGCACACGGAAATTTAGGCGCGGTTGTTCATCGATTCGCGATGGTGCGCCTGTCGTGACTGGAAATATTCTGATGATCCGCCCCGAGGACCTTGCAGTTGCCTCATGGACACGACCAATGTGCATGCCTTCGTGAGTTACTTTATTATACCCGTGCTAACCACTGTGGTGCTGCCGTATCGGGGAAGCTAACTGTAAACCGTTTTTTGTTGACCGTGGGATTTCGATACGTGAGATAGCACATTTTGTGCAGAATTTTTCGCTGATTCCGAATCCGTTTTCAAAAGTTGCGGAACCCCTCTAGTTAAAAAGTTACAGCCGGTTTTCTACCCAAATGACTGAAAATTACAAACATTAAATCCTTATAAAAAACTCGTAGAACATTTTGTGGGATAAAATACAGCACTTCTAGGGATAAAAAAAACGTGCTCTTTCGAATGGGCTACCTCACGAAGCCGTAGCTCAAAATTCACAAGTTCAAAAATTTGCCATCCAGGAGGGAATAGATCCACTGAAAAACTTTTTTCCATGAATTTTGAGCTACGGGGTTCGTGAGGTAGCCCATTCGAAAGAGCACGTTTTTTTATCCCTAGAAGTGCTGTATTTTATCCCACAAAATGTTCTACGAGTTTTTTATAAGGATTTAATGTTTGTAATTTTCAGTCATTTGAGGTAGAAAACCGGCTGTAACTTTTTAACTAGAGGGGTTCCGCAACTTTTGAAAACGGATTCGGAATCAGCGAAAAATTCTGCACAAAATGTGCTATCTCACGTATCGAAATCCCACGGTCAACAAAAAACGGTTACAGTAAGTTTACTTTTCGCCCAGCTGAGTTTTGGCAATTTAAAAATTTTGGTCATTTGTCATAGATCTTTGACCAAAAAAAGTAAAAGAATATGGAAAGATTTATAAGTGTTGTAGAATGCTATAAAATCGTTTACATTTCTTCATAGGGCAGCACGGGATCACCGAAAAAGCTCTGGAAAGCCCCGCCCCGCTGACAAGCGGGAAGGCCCGCTCGTGCAAGCGCCCCCCCCAAAATCATACGCCATCCATCATCTTACCATTTTAGTTTGGCAATCACCCATTAATGGAAATGACCTTTATTGCCGAAGATAGTGACTACAGGAAGCCAATTTCGGAAGCAATAGTCGATATGATCCAACGTTTCGTGGGTTATAACTTTTTTTAAGGCTGTCTAAGTCTAGCATAAAGAGCCTTGTAAACGTACTTTGATTAGCCTTATCCCCGACGGACTTAATGCATGTATCAAGCATTATTTTTGTCGTCCTTAAAATATGCCGGAAAATAATTAACAGGAGGTAGATGACAAGGCTAAAGGATGCTCGCCTTCAACGTCGTCAAGTTCGATCGGTTGCCTTACCGTCCTAAGGTGAGCCGTGTTCTCTGTATCACAAGCAAATTCACCGAACAAGTCGATAACAAAGTACAAAAAAATGAGCGTCCCGGGATGATTGTACACTTATGGGGTGTTTGAAAAAGCGCTATTTTCGTATTTTTTTATATAGATACAGGGTGGCCCGAAAGAGTGGTGACCGCAGCTTGCACACAGAATTTCTCTGTTCCCTTATGGGTTTGGGCAAGGCGGGGTTATGGATTCTGTTTCCTATAGATGTTGGCTAAATTTGAGCATACGCTCAGCGCACAACGCAGTCAAGCTTTTTCATTAGGAATTTAATTCCATAATTCAAAGTCATGGATTTTTTGAAATCGACAAAATCTAAAATAAATTCCTGTGGATGAAAATACTTAACGATGTCTTTTCCATCTCTTTAACGAGCGTGCCTGACGTTTCCGGTGAAGCTCGTGGTGCAGCTATGGCTCAGAACCCTCCAACTTGGTCAAGTGACTGAGGCCCGTTATTAAGGGTTTTGACCAAACCGTTTTTTGCTTGCCAAAAGAGCCATCCTGCAGCCCCAACCCGAATCCGCAGAATTTTTTTGTGTAGCTGGTCTGAAAGGCCAAAGTGTTGGCTACTCCCGATTCAATTTTGGGTTCGCTCGGGAAAGTCTTCGTCGAGTTATGAGCCAAATTCGGGCTGAGTGCCTGCGTGCCAGCACCTCCGTTTTCCTCGCTTCCCCGCCAGTTTTTCCGAGTTTGAGGCAAACAAATAAAAAAGTGGTTATACGATGTGGAAGATAATTGTTTAAGGAATCTAATGTGCTAAAATCAGCTTTCCTCGATCTATAGTTTTTCAGAAAATCGAAAAAGTTTCGGTCACCACTCTTTCGGGCCACCCTGTATAAGCGAGAAAAGTATGTTTGTTTTCTGTGCAGCCGATTTCTCGACCGTCAGGCCGAATTTCCGGCTGATTTTTGGCAGGGAGGTGGAGAAACACATCCTGTTTATAGGCATTTTTTGTTTTTGGAAATTCCCTCATGTAACAATTTTACAAGCAAAATAGTGAAAACCCCTTAACATTTTGGGCAAAAAAGGTTTGCTCAGAGGATATCTCGTCTTCCAAATGAAACTGGGCTCTGATTTTTGGAGGGTAGGTGGGAAATACGATTGCCCCCCATTAGTCATAACCCCATTAGTCATAAATTCCATTAGTCATAAATCCAATAGTCATAAATTCCATTAGTCATAAATCCAATAGTCATAAATTCCATTAGTCATAAACTCATTAGTCATAAATTCCATTAGTCATAAATTCAATAGTCATAAATGTTATGAAACTGATTGCTTGGAAATGTTATTCTCTGATATAATCCCGTTAACAAATCCAAAATTAATAGGTTTAATGATATCCGATCACGTGCAACCAAGGAGTTTGATTCGAGAACACGACAAGGACCATCACATACACCTCAAAACCTCTAACCTCAAACCTCGAAACTCAAAACACAAAACTCAACACTCAAACCTCAAAATCTATGATTAATAAAATTTATGACTATTGAATTTATGACTAATGGAATTTATGACTAATGGTTTTATGACTAATGGAATTTATGACTAATGGTTTTATGACTAATGGAATTTATGACTAATGGATTTCGCCCGGGAAATACAATTGACCCGATATATAATTCTGCTTTTTCTCAGATGTTATAAAATAGAGCTTTATGAGCATTTGTCCAACAAGTCCTTAACAAAATGGGTCAAGCGCCGTGGTGTCCGGGCCATAACCCGAATTTCGGACTATGGAATTTCGGGCAGAAATTTGGAACTGTTGTGTAATCGATGGTGCTTCTTACGCGCAGCTTATTAGATTTAAGAAATTCCATCATCTTCCAGCTCGAAGATGCCATTTTGTGAGTGAACTAAAGGCCTGCCTATTCCTTTTAGCACTGCTTAGTTCCGCCCCCCCCCGCCTTTTCTTTCGGCCTTCGGAGCCAAGGGTCGCGGGTTCGGATCCCCGACAAATTCAGCTTTTTTGCTTTTTGGTAGTTCAGGAACGAAACCTTTTTTCAAGCTTTCCCTGTGCGAGAATTAGGACTGGCATTTGCTCTATCGCCGCAGGCCACAGTAAAGGACCTTCCCGTACGCTCTCGCACCGCAGGCTAGATCCGGGAGAAAAATCAGTAGCTAGCGCCGCAGGGCTCAAAGATTCTTGCGCAACACTGGCTCTGGCGCCGCAGGCCAGAGAATGGGTCCTTGAGTCAGGTTCTTGCGCCGCAGGCTTCAAAAAAGGAATTAATGTTTTTAGACGGGTTTGGAAAAGGGACGCGAAGCGGCCTTTTTCCACTGGATTAAAGATAAGTTGTTATCCGTCCGGTTATTAGGAAAAACCAACATGCGCCACAAGTGGGCGTACCTACTGGGTGTCCCAAAAAACGAGAAAACAAGCGATATTCGTTTTGCGGTACTTTTATCAAAATTTTAAGCCCGCGAAATCTGCATAAAATCTGCAGTTTTCATTTATTTTTGTCCTAAAATTCGTAAATGAAAATGGCTATATTAAACAACGAAAAGTGCTTGTTTCCTCGCCGTTCCGAGAGCTTTCTATAGATACCTAAATCGTCACAATCGGATACGAGTGCGGCCCGCTAGACGGGGGTCGATTTTTTGGGACACCCTGTATATGAAGGTCAGAGAGATGGGCTCTACAATCAAAATACGATACTTGTTGGAAATACATTGATCTTTCCTAGAAATTCGCATGTCTGTTCCGTAAAGTGAGACGTCACGTGAAGGACTTTCTCTCCGATAAATGGCAGTTGTATACCGTGTTGATCGTCGTCGACGCGGGAAAGATAATCGAGGTACCGCTCATAACCCAAATATCAACCAAATGCGATTCCGATCCAGGCCTTTGTTTTTCCTATCCGACAACCGGAAATATAATTAGATAATTCCAGACACTCCGGTGCGAAAACGACGACCGGCTACCTAGTCTATATGAAGAGTTTCTATCTACATGGGCTACCAGCTGGGAGACTAAGTACTACGACGGACGTGTAAGTGATTATCAACTCACATAGCAACTCGTCACGGGCGGATCACGGCTAACTCATAGTACAAAGTGTGAAAAAACATTGTTTTATGCTGGGGTAGTATTCGCTTGGCTGTCGATTTTCATCCCGAAACGAGGAGTGCGGTATTTTTTCACTCATGTCACGGAACAGGCGAACATACTAATAAATTTTAGGGGCTAGTAGGCTGGTTCTTTAGGATTTCCGGGGGGGGGGACCAATTTTTTCGGCACAAGCCTAAATTTTTTATAAATAGCGCATGCGTTTCTAAATGGTTTTTTAACGATTCCTGAGCATAAAAACTACAAAAATTTTAATTAAAAAATTTAATTTTAGGTCGAAAAATCCCATAGAACCTTTAGGATTAGCGGGGGGGAAGACCCAAAATGACTAAATTTTCGACTTTTTCAAACATTTGTCTAACTTTTTTTTGAAAGTTTTTCTACTTTAAATATCGTTAAAATTTACTAAAAACAATGTAAAAACACTTTATATTTGATCACTAGGTCAACCCGGACCCCCAGGAAAAAAATTGGAGAAAGAAGAAAAGAAAGAAAAACAAACGCCAGGAAAAAAACCCTTCGAGGGTGTCGGTTGTGCTCAAATCGTAGTTTAAATTTTATTTTTAATCAGAAGCTTATTACATAGCTCTGGAGTCTTTTTGACTTTTTTTGTGCACGTTTTTATAGGCCACGGGGTTTTTTTCCGCGCACGGGGGTGCGGGGGCGTGGCCAAGGCGGCGTCAGGCGGAGGGTCAGGGTTCGATTCCTCTCCTCGCGTAAAATCATGACATGGTTTTGCTTTTTTTTTGCAAAATACTGAGTAAAGCGCCGACAACAAATCTGTGGCGAATCTCAGGCAGAAAATTAGGAAAATGGGGCGACCTGGGGCCCTAACGAGAACATCGTCTTGATAATCGCTTCAAAGCGTTTCAAATCCTTGTTTTTCCTCGCGATCGCTGAGATTCGTTTACCAAAATGTTCCCGAGGGTCTTCTCTACAAATTACCAGGCGGAGAATTTGTCATTTTTTCTATAAAAAAAGTTATAGCCATTAGAAGGGATTTTCTAATACATTTTGGGGGCGAAAGGGGGCGTGGCCTCGCCCATTCCCTGTCTCCCTCTCGTGCGCGCCCCAAGTAAGGTTAAAAACCCCGTGAGGTTTGAAGATGTAGCCAAGGTTTTCACATCTGAACTGCTAATTAGATTCGCGGCCCGATTACTGGGGTAGTAAGCCTGATTACTCCCCCTAGTAATTTTTAATCGCCTGCGAGGAGGCGTGAGAGTTAATGAATTTTGGCACCACCCAAGTTTGTCTTAGATTCCCGAGGGGGTAGCCTGCTCTTCTTTCGCGGCCTTGCGGTAGGACGGGCTCAAAAATGACACATTTCAGACACAGAAGGGCATCCGATCGACGCTGATTTTGGCGCAGAACTATGGTATGGGTCCGGACGCAGATTATGCTGTACGTTGCCAGCTAGTTTTGAAAGCTTTCCTACCCACCTTGTGTGCCCATTTTTCACGAAATAACAAAGCGTTCAAGGGGGGTCGATGCGGTCTAGAGAACCAATAGACGCCCTGAAGTTTTTCACGCCGCGATGACGTTAATAACCAAAAAAAAATAGGCCGCTATGCTCTAGGTACGCGCCGACGCCTGCCGTGCACGGTTCATCCGCGAAAAGGACAAATTGCATCGACGATGGCCAAAGGTCCCGAAGCTACAGTGGGATACCCGTGACGAGACTGAGAAGCGTATTACATGACCCATTTAGCCCCATTCACGGTGAAAATAAAGAAAATGTTTCCCTCGTATGATTTGCAGAAATAAAATCCAATGCTTCATCGACTTCATTTGACTGTTCACCTGCATAAACCATAAATAATTCGACAGTTGCAGTAGAAGAGCAGAGTTAAAAAGAACGACTAAGAGACAGACACGCTTCAAGAATGAGCACATGTTCACATATTCGGCCATCTGATAAATCGAATTCCGGTCACCTCACCGAAAACCTTTACACCGAAAGTCACTTCACCGAAAACATTATCCCCGGAAAGCTAAATTTGTTTGTATGCTAACTTCGCGGTTGTCACTGTTCAACTCTTCTTTGTACAGGGTGTCGCAAAAAAAAAATACCCCCTCTCACTCGACGCAGAAATATCGGATCGAAGCGCTAGTTACGCCATTCGAAAGCCCTTGAAACGGCGAGTTTGCAACGGTCTTCAAAACCGTGTTTTTATTTAAATGCGCGATTTTAAAAAGCATTTAAAAACATTAAATAACGGCCTCTGCATCTAATTAACGGCTGATTCCGGTCCTTTTGCTTATGTGACTGCAAATATATTAGGGTTGTTTCGCGGAACTTTCGGAACAAAGACTGGTCGGAACGGTCCGAATTTCGGGTGTTCCGGCTGTTCCGAGATTCGGAACATTCCGGGATTCAAATGTTGCGGTTGTTCCGAGATTCATATTGTTCCGACTGTTCCGAGATTCGGGACGTTCCGAGATTTGGCTGTTCCGGCTGTTCCGAGATTCTAAACAGTCCGAGATTGAGGTGTCCCGAGATTCAAATTTTTTCGTATGTAAATTTCGATTTCATGTAAATCGTGTAGATTGCATGTGATGTTTCGATTTGGCCGTCCCACGGCAGCGTGGGCGCAACTGAACACCTAATTCCGTCGATGGTTAGATATTGAATCCGGAAATTAGGGAAATGAGAACGAATTGGGGATCGAAAATTCTCGAAGAAATCGAAATTCAGTCGTGTTTGGAAATTTACATGCGAAAAAATTTGAATCTCGGAACAGCTCAATCTCGGAATGTTCTGAATCACGGAACAGTCGGAACAGCCAAATCTCGGAACGTCCCGAATCTCGGAACAACCGCATCATTTGAATCTCGGAATGTTCCGAATCTCGGAACAGCCGGAACACCCGAAACTCGGTCCGTTCCGACATTCGGAACAGTCGGGACGGTTGCTGTTCCGAATGTTCCGAATCACGGTCTGTCCCGAGAAACAACCCTATAAATATATGTTTATATGCATTTGCATGCTTTATGATTCTAAATGCAACCCCGAAAAAACTGGACAATCTGGTACACATAGGATAACGGGGGAAATAACATGGGGGCACTCAAACTTTTTTTATGACAAAAGTATTTTTAAATATGCTTTTTTTTGGGCTGTAAAAAAAGCTCTTAGTATATTTTTCGGTCCTCTATCGAATGGCATTTTCAAAATATCGAAAATATTCAAAACGCCGAAAATTCCCCCCCCCGTTATCCTATGTGCTGCCCATAGTTTTCAAAAATAGTTTTTAGGCTATAAAACTTTTATAATACATTTTTTCGCGTTGTAAAAAAATATCTTAGTTTTTTTTAATGTTCTATCGATTCGCGTTTTCAAAATATCGAAAATCTTAAAAATTTGGCTTCCCCCCGTTATCCTATGTGCTGCCCATGGATTTTGATCAATTTTTGTTTCTTCGATAAAAAATTTCATTTACATTATTTCGGGCTGAAATTAATTCTCTTAGTATATTTTTCGACGCTCTATCGAATGGCACTCGCAAAATCCCTCAGTAATTGCAAATTTCATAATAATGAGTGCCCCCCGTTATCTTATCCCCCCCCCCGTTATCCTATGTGTACCGACAATCTTACAAATTGTCTTGTAAAATAGCGGGTTGTAAACTGGTTCTTACGCAACATCGGGCGGAGGGAAGGGTGTTTATCGGGAGGCAGGTGGATTTTTCCTAGGAGTCCAAAAATGCCTAATAACACCATAGCAAGTGTTTTGCCAGTGTTTTTAGACAAATTTAACTTGATATGAAACAATGAAAACTTAGAAAGAATTATTAGCTGAAATGTGGGTTGAAATTCATTATTTTTTATTTTCAAATGCAGAATTCGTAAAGCTTTTACGTTTAAGGAAGGGGAAACAGTGATGAGCACTTCCTCCATTGCTAGCAAATTGGATACTTGGAAAAATTGCCGCACCCCCCACGATAATGCGAAAGAACCGATCGACTGAATGTAAATTTTAGAATTGCGTTGAAGTCCTGGAAGACCATCTGACACGTGCTTCACCTAAAGTAGGCCAAAAACAGCTATTTCAACCATTCCACATTTTTCAGATGCTGTCCAGCCTAAATTCGCTATTGGCTAGAGAACGGATGGTGATCGATTCATACGCAGCACGGGGTCTCAGAGCGCGCACGGGGGGTGGGGAGGGGCGTGGCCGAGTGGTCTAAGGCGGCGGTCACAGGCCACAGGGAGGGGGGTGCTGGTTCGATACCTCGGACCCCCCGTACCGTCAGATCGTTTTGCTCTTTTTTGCAAAAAGTGGTTGAAGGTGCCAGCAACCCATATATAGTGTACCCAATGTCGAAAAATAACAAACTATATGGTTCCTGAGTCAGAAACGACGAAATCGCGAATAGTGGTGCTGGAGTACTCATTTAAGTCACATAGATATAAAACAGAGCTGAATATATAGACAGATAGTCATACAAAGTCGATTGAAGCCAAATAGTTCAGTACTACTCCAGAATTCAAAATTGCTCAAAATGGATGGGCCTCAATCTCGTCCATTACAGCCCCCAACCCCGAAAAAGCAAGCAATTGATCATTGGCAAGTCTCAGGCGATGCAAATATACGAAAAAGGATCCCAGAAAATGGCTATATTCAAAGAAAAGCGATGCGCACAAAGGGGTGAATTTTCGGTCTTCTGCTCGCTAAAAAGGTTTTGAACTCCTTATTTTGATTCAGATTTGCTCCGAGCTCTTTTGGAAAAGGTGCCTTAGGGTCTGTTCTATCATATGCGAAAAGCCGCCTCGACCGTTTTTTCTAGAAAAAAAGTTATCGCATTTTGAAAGCGCCAAAATTTGTCACTTTTTCCCCCTTTTGTTAAGGCCTTTTGCGGGTCTCAGGGTTCGCTGTGCGCGCAGCCGGCCCACCCGTCCCGTGGAGTGCCCCGTCCCTCGTGCGCGCCCTCCTGAATAGTCGGGACCCCGTGGCAGAATGGAGGTAACGCCTGAAAACGGGTCCCCAGCAAACCATGGCAAATAAATTTATATTTTACACATAGGCACAACGCACGAAATACAATACCCGCAAACAACATGTGAAAACAGGCGACAAGTCAATAAATGTACGAGGGGAGGAATGGCAACAAGGGCATGGTACGATCGATTCTGTAGCTGCTCATTGCGGAGATGTCCATCGTTTAATCGAATAGTCGTCATCGAGGGCGGCGGTCACGAGCAGATTCGTACGCGGGTGGCAATCGCTGGCGATTAGGCAGCCTAAACAAAGTGTAAATAAAGCAAACATGCTTTTCCTACAGGCCTAGATAAGCCCTTATGGCTGCAAAGTCGGAATTTTTGTATTTTTAATGAAAAGTTGTGAAGTTTCGACGTTTCGGAATAGCAAAAAAAAATTTAGAAATATTTAACCAGATGGAATGATCCATGAAAAACGTACTCTCATGGGCACGCCATCTCTGGAGAATGCTGGTATCTTGCATATCCCACGCGACAACATCTCCGTCCTCCGAACCGCTTATGATGTACTAAAATCGAAAATAACCAATCACTTAAAAAAACACCTTTCCGCCAGTGATCGCAAAGTGGGTTGGCGTGCAATATTTTGACTGCTGATGACCCTCGTATATCCTCAACGCCTTTCCGTTGTTCACGTCCCATAGTCGTATTTTGCTAAATAACAAAAATCGTAACACTTGGTCCTGGGCTATTAGCGGGTCGAGAGGTGTGATGAGCTATCTAGCTTAGGTATAGCATTTTTTTAGCATTCTGTCTTGTTTTGAGCAGTCTATCATTTTTTCTCCTAAGTTTTCTATCGTTTTTGATTCGTAAAAAGATATAAAAACGCTTCCAAAATTTAAAGGTGTTAAATTTTTTTGACTAATTGTAACTATCTAAATTTTTCAAAAAATGTAGTGCAACTTTCTATACTTGACAAAGGCCTAAAGAGCTATATAAATGTGTTTATTCCTTGAGGTTGGGATTATACAGGAAAAGAGCCAAGCCCCACCCCCGCTAAAAGACCAGTACCAACAACTTTTACAACGCACCTATTGTGGTATCCGGCCAGCACAAATTTGCCGTTTGGTGAGAAGCGGACGAACGAGACGGGCCATTTGTCGTCGTCAACCGGCTTCAGCGTGTTGGCCAGCTTCAGGGACGTCGTGTCCCAAAGGCGCACCAGCCCGTCATAACTAGCTGTCGCCATGAGGTTGCCATGTCTAAAATATACTTATCAAAAGCAAAGCTGAGAACATTACCGAACTGTCGCCACCGACGACAAGGGTTCCGTGTGGGCTGAGATGGTGCGTATGCTGCTCTGGGTCGCCACGTCCCACACTCTCAAAAGCGCGTCAAACCCGCCTAAAACCCGTTGAATCGTCCAAAACCGGTACTGGTTCGTTAGCGGGTGGTTTTGCTACGGTCATTTTCGTAATAAAAAGTTCCAAAATTTATTTAATTATTCAATTTTTGAATTTTTGCTCAAAAATCGTATTATTACGAAATTTGAAAACGTTTCCTGAACTACTTAGTAATAGAAAGCTACTAAAAACACCTAAAAAAAGTTCATATTTGGTTTACAGAGGTTAGACTGGAAGTTCGCTCCCCGTTAACGAACAAGCACCGCAAAACCAAAAAAATTACCCGAAAATATCGTAGTGATATGGTAGAAGGCACAGCAAAACGCGTAGTTGTCGTGTCCCCGCAAGGAGCCTACATGCTTTCCGGTTGCCGCGTTCCATAGCTATAAAAAGCAATTTTTTAACACAGGAAACCAAACCTGCAGCGTTCTGTCGTCACTGGCTGTGCACAAAAGCCGCGCATCGGGGCTCCAGTTTACGTCGTTGATGCCGAGTTTGTGGCCCAGAAATTCCCGATTGCCGATCGGCTCCCACGTCTCTTCATGAAGCGCCAAAATTCGCAACTAGAAAAAACAGATTGTAATCACCAAAAAAGGTACCGTTTTATCGGGCGAGCCCACAGCAAGGTATCTGCCGTCTGGGCTAAACTTCAGACACGACGTTCGCTTGGAGCCGGGTTGAATTTCGCTGCAGAACGTGTAGGACGGGGCGGGACGCTGAAATGGAAGGTTGGGAAAGATAATAGTATTACTTACCTTAGGAGGGTCTATGGGGACTGGATCGACCGTTGCACAGTCTTCTCCGGCGTACATCTGAAATGTTTTCTATTATTTTGACTCAAAATCAATCGAAACGAGTAGAAAAAAAAGAGAAGAACTGTCCGTGCCATAACTGATTTTTGAAAACTTTCTAAAAAGCGCAGGCACGCGGCTTTAGGGAACCCGAAATCCAGTCATTTGCAAACCACAGCGTTTTTTCATAAACATTGTATTAAAAGTTTTCATTTTACAAAATTAATTTAGAAACTAGATTGGTGCTACACTCGCTAGTTCGCGCTCAAACTTAAACCTAAATCTTTAGTTTTCTAAGGCTTTTGACTGATACTTTTGTCTTTAATATCGTTGTAACAATTTACAGGGCGTCTTCTCTCCCCTTTCTTCTAATTCTGCTCTTTCTTTCCACTTCCTCTGCCTCAACCCAACGGCGTCTCAATGCATTTTCAAGGCATGGCGCTGACCAGCTGGCGCAGCGGTCAGCTAGCATCCGGCCACAGGGTGTTCCTATTGATCCCAGCCGGCTGGACCCTAGTCCCTTATGCCCTAGGGACCCATGGTCACCATTGTGCCCCTTTTTGCCTTGGCGACCGACGACTTGCCGAATTTCCACTGCGCTTTGCCGACTTCTAACTAGCTCCTAATCCAGAAACAATTCTAAAAATCACCGCTCTACAATGTGAAAATGTCGTTTTTAGGGTGAGCTATCTACAAAAAAAACAAAAACATATTCTAAAACCATTTAAAAAGCTAAGTTAATGATATTCTAGGGTCCCAACTTCGCTCGGCCATGCGGTACATAAACTGGCCCTCTGGGTACTTTTCGCCGTCATATTCAGCTCCATCGTACGATTCATGTAAGCCGATTCTTTCTAAAATAGATAATACAAAGCATAAAAACCTCTACGTCTTCTTCAGATTGCTCGTTGACCTCAACAAGCGAGGATACAACCATGTGGGCCCATATTGACTCACTAGTTACCGTTTCGTGAATAAACTAATTTTCTCTATTATTTAGTAACTTAATCCAGTTTTCCTATAATTCATTAAATTTACTAACTACAGAATTCGATAGATCGCACGAGAAATTAGAGATCGCGGAAGCCCCTACCATTAACATGTCGTAAGTGTTGTAACTATGGTAAGCGCACACTAATGAGAGGTGGTCTTGTGACGAAATATAAAGCAAGTTACGGTAGCTTTTACGTCGGTTCTAGCTTTGCGCAAATAGTTGGTCAGATGTTTCTATGTGCCTCCGAACGGCTCAGCGCCGTTTTGTAAGTTTGCTTTCCAGCTCCACAATCGTTTATTTTAGATTAGAACGCTCACACAGAGACTGGACAAGTCTTTTCGACGGTTGCGGCGCGTACGACTTCAGTGGGCCCGAGGAACTCTCGCTCGCCGTCTCCGCTCTGCCGAAATCAAAAGTGATATTGAGGATAAATCTTTCATTTTTTTTTTAGGATTTATCCGATATTGTGAAAGAAATGTGCAACGTTACCGTCGCGCGTCGCCCCCAGCCTGCTGTCAAATCAGAGTACGTTTCTGTTGATCATTGCATTGCATGGTGCCTGACTGTTAGCAGGGGCATTTTTAACAATGGGGGAACGTTTCGACATTATATAAATACTCTTTTCGACTTTTCTACCCTGGTTTAGGTTAGATTACTTTTCCTAGCCGGAAGTTTCCAAAAGTTTCACGCTATCTAATGGCGTAGTCAAAATTCCGAAAAAGTAGCGGCAATCTCAAAAACATTTTTATACTTTTCATATCCAAAAATTGTGTGAAATGCCATAAAAATTCTTTAATGATTGTTAGAGTGCCACACGGACTTACTGGGGAAATTCAGTTTCATCTGCTAAAAATCCCCCTGCTAACAGTCCACTATTGGTTTCTTGAATCAGATCCATGCCCAAACCTGGAGAGCCTTTCGGCGGGCCGGAAACCGGCATCTCCTTCTGCACGTCCTTCATGCTGGCCAACCGCGTCCGGCACTGCGTGGCCCACAACCGGCCCGCGCTCCGCGCCCTCCACCGCCGGCACCCCCACAACAAAATGGCTGGCACTAAGCGCCCGGCCAAGCTTTGTGTAATTTTTTATACTGATTTCTGTTCTAGGATCGTCTTTCTATGCTAGATATCAATCTTTTTAGTTTCTTGCCGTGTCTCCAAAGACTCCGCAAACTCCACACTCGCATCTAGAAGCTACAAAGTATATTTATCTTCCTTTTATTACAAGATTTTTAGATCGACTACTACACCCGGACGTGCCGCGTTGAGCACGCAACTTGCCGGCTCTTTCATCAACTCGTTCCGCAAGTGTGAAGATGACGAAATGGTTAGCACAGCCGTTTTTTTTTTGTATAATCGAGGTCCTAGGATGCTTCTATGTGCTCCCTCGATAGAACTCTCTCCCAGATGGACGACGGCAAGCCGAAGTCGAGCAAAAAGCGGGCTGACGATACGTTTATTGATTTCGGAGACGAGGATGACCTTGATATCGATGGCGACATGGCCTATGAGCACGAGTCGTGGGAATTTTTGAAGGTAAAATCAGCGTTTGTGTACTTTGGATAACTGCTTTTAGTCAGAAAAGGTCCGTGATGCAAACAGGCGCCGTCCCGACGATCCGGAATACGATCCAAGTACGCTATGGATTCCCAACGACTTTCTGGAGAAGCAAACGCCAGGTTATTCTGGCATTCCATTCGTCTGAATCCGAGTTTTAGGTCACACGCAGTGGTGGAAGCTGAAGACGCAGAACTACGACACCATTCTGTTCTTCAAAGTCGGAAAGTTCTACGAGCTCTACCACATGGACCCCGTCATCTCCGCCCAGCACTTGTCGCTCTCGTTTATGAGAGTATGGTTATATGTTGAGGATCAAGCCGATTTTAGGGGAAATATACGCACACGGCCTTTCCGGAAATCGCATTTGGACGATTTGCCGATCAGTTGGTGTCGAGGGGATATAAGGTATACGCACTCTACAATGTGGTCAACTACTGTTCAACGCCATTCGGTAGGAGCTTTCTGTTATCGGCAATTTTAACTCTTCCAGGCCGCCGTCTCCTTCGCCAATGGATTTGCAAGCCAACCTGTGACCCGGAAACGCTAACGTCGCGTCAGGATGCCATTGAATGGCTCACCAACGATGGCCAAGCCTTCATGGACAGGGTCGACGAGCTGCTCAAAAGAATTCCCGACCTGGCTCGGCTTTTACAGAAGTCGGTGTTGCTCTAGATTTTGGATTATCTTCTTTTAGGATCCACACTCTTGGCCTTAAATACCGAGCTGAAATCCACCCCGATCCCCGGGCCGTCATGTTCGAGTCTACCAAGTACAACAGGCGCAAGATCAAGGTTGATATAATTTTTTATATTGAATTATTTTTCTAGGATCTTCTTGTGACCTTGCGCGGATTCGAGGCGACCGGAAGAATTGTCAAAGGCTACGACAAACTCGTGATGGATGGTGAAAGGTATTGAACCTTTATTATTCTTAGTATTTTTTTGTAGTGCCACCCTCATCGATCAGCTAATCGGTGTCGACCACATCCCAGACATCACTCCGGATTTGAAGCATGTCCAAGTTCCGGGAGTGGCGTTCTCACATATGGTTTGTCAATGATAAACGATCTCTATTTTGATTTAGGCATGCATGGTTGAGGGCGAAAATGAGCAAGACCCGACGCTCGAGACGGTGACCTTCCTCTATCGGCTCGTGTCGGGCATCTGCCCCAAGTCCTACGGTTTCTACGCCGTCAAATTGGCCGGAATCGATGATGAGGTTCGATCTTTTAGGCTATCTTTTGAATGTTTGAAGATATTTCTTATTTTTCTAATGTAAGAAATTTTTGATGAAGCATTTTTAGGTGGACCGCAACGCGTACTTCCCAGCGTCTCGCCTCGTGCACCGACGGCCTTTCCCAGCTCGAAACATCCAAAGCGTTGGCACGTGAGGGAAATATGGAAATATAACTCTTTAAAATATGCTATGCTTTTCCCCTGGAGGTGTCTGGTTTTAGTTTCCGATCTCGTTGTATGCTGTCTCCCTTTTTTTTAAATATGCGATTCCCAGTTTGTACGAGGTGGTCTTTACTGAAACCGGTTGCATAAATACATTTTATCCAGATTTTGGCGCAAATATCACAGATCAATGTTGAGATCGTTGCAATTACGTAATGAGCGGGTTGACGACGTCGCAGTGAAGCAAGCGTCCGAATAACGAGCCGATCAGCATCTGTTCTTGGAAATAGATGACAGAAACCGAACCGGAAATTGTTGCGCCGTCGTTCGCATAGGGCTCGGTTATTACCCAAGAAATGCCGTCTTCCTAAATTTGTAATGTTTGTTTTCGTCACCTTGCTCGCCCCACTTGCATCCGAATCCTAAGAACTTGCGAGGCAGCCTTTATCCTAGCTTCCCCTGGATCGGAGAGATGAAAGAAGGCATCGTGGACAACTGGCAATAGCGCTGTCCAGATCTGAAATATGTGTTTTGGGAAATATCTTGGATATCTTTGTATTTTATGCCGGAAAATTCAGTTCTTTGACATACATCACCAGATTGCTCATCGATTTGGATGCCCATTGGCGATGACAGAAGCGAGATCTCCGTTTTCTGCGTCAGAGCCAGCGAAGGGGAAATGGAATAGACACGGATTGCCTGAAATTCAGCTTTAGATATCGCGTTCCCTTTAGGCGAACCTCAGATAGAATCAGCCCAACATGGAGCAGATTCCGCTTTGAATCAAAGGCCAGCCCGCCTGGCGTGGGTAGCCATGGAACCGCCGAAGAAACCGTTTTACCGTCAAATAGATACAGCGAGCCGGATGAAGCCTAGAGGTTAGAGATTTGGTTTCCGGTTCGATTCGGCAAGCGCAATACAACAAGATTGGCTTACCTGAAAGGCTGCCTCGGCCGTTTGCAACAGTATATGACGGGCATAATGGGTGTTTGTGACGAAGAACCGATCCGGCCCAACGACGACAATGTCTTGTAGACTAAAACGGGTGTGTTTGGTATAAAATCATCGCTGACCTCGTAAATTTGGGGTCGCAAATTGATTTCCGATGCGTGGCCACCCGCTTCTCGCGATTGTAGGAAAAGCTTTCCACACAATTCGGTTGCTGTGCCCGGTTGACGATGTACAGGTGAAGCCGTCCTTTCGATGAATAGACGCTCAACCCGAAAGGCGCAAAGTTCTTCTAGAAATATTTCGAATAAAGGCTGGGTATCACTAACCAATGAAAAGTTGTCGATCTTGACTTCTTGAGCATCATGGCGAACCGGTTGATCAGAAGGGGGCGGGAATGAGTAGGTGAAAAGCCCGGATTTAGTATTAGTAACACCTGAAGCGATAGAGCCGGTTGGAATCGAGCATGAGGGTGGATTACCTCGATATTTTGCCAACCCAGTGGTAATGAAAACAAGATTTTCGGCCGTCAAGAATTCTAGTCCTGCCGATCCGTTTGCTAAACGGAGCAAACTCGTTTTAGATATCTAGAAAACGTACTGATTTGGTGGATGAGTCGGCATGGGCCGGGCGCATGGTTGTATACTCGCTTGTTGAGGTCGACGAGCAATCTGAAGCAGACGTAGAGGTTGTTGTGTTTTGTATTTCCTATTTTAGAAAAGATTCGCTTACATGAATCTCACGATGGAGCTGAAGATGACGGCGAAAAGTACCCAGAGGGCCAGTTTATGTACCGCATGGCCGAGCGAAGTTGGGACCCTAGACAATCGTTGTCGTTGGCTTTTGAGCTGGTTTTATCTGTTTTTTTTTATGTTTTTCAAATGGCTCACCCTAAAAACGACATTTTCACATCGTAGAGCGCTGATTTTTAGAATTGTTTCTGGATTAGGAGCTAGTTAGAAGTCGGTAAGGCGTAGTGAAAAGTCGGCAAGTCGCCGGTCGCCAAGGCAAAAAGGGGCACAATGGTGGCCATGGGTCCCTAGGGCATAAGGGACTAGGGTCCAGCCGGCTGGGATCAATAGGAACACCCTGTGGCCGGATGCCAGCTGACCGCTGCGCCAGCCGGTCAGCGCCATGCCTTGGAAATGCATTGAGACGCCTCAACGGCAGTGGAAGTGGAAAGAAAGAGCAGAATTAGAAGAAAGGGGAGAGAAGACGCCCTGTAAATTGTTACAACCATATTAAAGACAAAAGTATCAGTCAAAAGCCTTAGAAAAAAGATTTAGGTTTAAGTTTTGGCGCGACATTATGTGTAGCGCCAATCTAGTTTCTAAATTAATTTTGTAAAATCAAAACTTTTGACACATTTTTTAAAACGTTGAGATTTGGAATGACTGGATTTCCGGTTCCCTAAAGCTCACTATTCCATCGTACCTGCGCTTTTTAGCAAGTTTTCAGAAAACAATGATGGCTCGTACAGCCCTTTTCGTTTTTTTCTACTCGTTTCTATGGATTTTGAGTCAAAATAATAGAAAACATTTCAGATGTACGCCGGAGAAGACTGTCCAAAGGTCGATCCTGTCCCCATAGACCCTCCTAAGGTAAGTAATACTATTATCTTTCCCAACCTTCCATTTCAGCGTCCCGCCCCGTCCTACACGTTCTGCAGCGAAATTCAACCCGGCTCCAAGCGAACGTCGTGTCTGAAGTTTAGCCCAGACGGCAGATACCTTGCTGTGGGCTCGCCCGATAAAACGGTACCTTTTTTGGTGATTACAATCTGTTTTTTCTAGTTGCGAATTTTGGCGCTTCATGAAGAGACGTGGGAGCCGATCGGCAATCGGGAATTTCTGGGCCACAAACTCGGCATCAACGACGTAAACTGGAGCCCCGATGCGCGGCTTTTGTGCACAGCCAGTGACGACAGAACGCTGCAGGTTTGGTTTCCTGTGTTAAAAAATTGCTTTTTATAGCTATGGAACGCGGCAACCGGAAAGCATGTAGGCTCCTTGCGGGGACACGACAACTACGCGTTTTGCTGTGCCTTCTACCATATCACTACGATATTTTCGGGTAATTTTTTTGGTTTTGCGGTGCTTGTTCGTTAACGGGGGAGCGAACTTCCAGTCTAACCTCTGTAAACCAAATATGAACTTTTTTTAGGTGTTTTTAGTAGCTTTCTATTACTAAGTAGTTCAGGAAACGTTTTCAAATTTCGTAATAATACGATTTTTGAGCAAAAATTCAAAAATTGAATAATTAAATAAATTTTGGAACTTTTTATTACGAAAATGACCGTAGCAAAACCACCCGCTAACGAACCAGTACCGGTTTTGGACGATTCAACGGGTTTTAGGCGGGTTTGACGCGCTTTTGAGAGTGTGGGACGTGGCGACCCAGAGCAGCATACGCACCATCTCAGCCCACACGGAACCCTTGTCGTCGGTGGCGACAGTTCGGTAATGTTCTCAGCTTTGCTTTTGATAAGTATATTTTAGACATGGCAACCTCATGGCGACAGCTAGTTATGACGGGCTGGTGCGCCTTTGGGACACGACGTCCCTGAAGCTGGCCAACACGCTGAAGCCGGTTGACGACGACAAATGGCCCGTCTCGTTCGTCCGCTTCTCACCAAACGGCAAATTTGTGCTGGCCGGATACCACAATAGGTGCGTTGTAAAAGTTGTTGGTACTGGTCTTTTAGCGGGGGTGGGGCTTGGCTCTTTTCCTGTATAATCCCAACCTCAAGGAATAAACACATTTATATAGCTCTTTAGGCCTTTGTCAAGTATAGAAAGTTGCACTACATTTTTTGAAAAATTTAGATAGTTACAATTAGTCAAAAAATTTAACACCTTTAAATTTTGGAAGCGTTTTTATATCTTTTTACGAATCAAAAACGATAGAAAACTTAGGAGAAAAAATGATAGACTGCTCAAAACAAGACAGAATGCTAAAAAAAATGCTATACCTAAGCTAGATAGCTCATCACACCTCTCGACCCGCTAATAGCCCAGGACCAAGTGTTACGATTTTTGTTATTTAGCAAAATACGACTATGGGACGTGAACAACGGAAAGGCGTTGAGGATATACGAGGGTCATCAGCAGTCAAAATATTGCACGCCAACCCACTTTGCGATCACTGGCGGAAAGGTGTTTTTTTAAGTGATTGGTTATTTTCGATTTTAGTACATCATAAGCGGTTCGGAGGACGGAGATGTTGTCGCGTGGGATATGCAAGATACCAGCATTCTCCAGAGATGGCGTGCCCATGAGAGTACGTTTTTCATGGATCATTCCATCTGGTTAAATATTTCTAAATTTTTTTTTGCTATTCCGAAACGTCGAAACTTCACAACTTTTCATTAAAAATACAAAAATTCCGACTTTGCAGCCATAAGGGCTTATCTAGGCCTGTAGGAAAAGCATGTTTGCTTTATTTACACTTTGTTTAGGCTGCCTAATCGCCAGCGATTGCCACCCGCGTACGAATCTGCTCGTGACCGCCGCCCTCGATGACGACTATTCGATTAAACGATGGACATCTCCGCAATGAGCAGCTACAGAATCGATCGTACCATGCCCTTGTTGCCATTCCTCCCCTCGTACATTTATTGACTTGTCGCCTGTTTTCACATGTTGTTTGCGGGTATTGTATTTCGTGCGTTGTGCCTATGTGTAAAACATAAATTTATTTGCCATGGTTTGCTGGGGACCCGTTTTCAGGCGTTACCTCCATTCTGCGTATGAATCGATCACCATCCGTTCCCTAGCCAATAGCGAATTTAGGCTGGACAGCATCTAAAAAAGTTTAGAATGGTTGAAATAGCTGTTTTTGGCCTACTTTAGGTGAAGCACGTGTCAGATGGTCTTCCAGGACTTCGACGCAATTCTAAAATTTACATTTAGTCGTTCGTTTCTTTCGCATTATCGGGGGGATGCGGCAATTTTCCAAGTATCCAATTTGCTATAAATAGACGAAGTGTTTATGAGAAGAGATCTGTTTCTTAATTTTTCTAAACGTAAAAACTTTACAAATTTTCTTTGAAAAATACAAAAACAGCGATTTTCGACCAACATTTCAGCTAAAAAATGGTTCTAACTTTTTCTTGATTGCTTTTCCGTTTGATTAACAACACGAGTAAAAAGCTCATTATTAGGTTACTAGACAGTTTTGGACCTGTTAAGCCATACCGTGAACTTCGGCCGTTCCTCAGGCGTCTCTTTCCAGGATTCGAGCATTAGGTGGTAGCTAAAGTATAAAAATACAGCGTTTTTCGTTTTTTAAACGTCTTTAGGCAACCTACAGCTCCTCGTGACAGTACACAGGCCGTGGATTCCGTTCGCCGTTCGTTACCCGTTCTGGCACCTTGTCGTCCGGCATTCCGGGGTAGGGCAGACCGCCCAGGGTAAAGAGCTCGTAGAGCAGAATGCCGTACGACCAGACGTCTGACTGTAACGGCGAGTTTCTAGTTGTTAGACCTTTTTTAAATTGTTAATTCCCTCCTATATTGATGAAATCGTGGTTTTTGAGTTACTAGCTCATTTTTGGACATTAAAAGTTGAAAATTAACTTTAGAAATATCCGAAAAGCAGAGGTTAGTTTTCTCTAGCTTTAAAGCTCGTAAAACGCTTTCCACCAACGAACCGCTTCCGAAAAATACAGATTTTGCATCGCCTCCGGGCTCATCCAGCGCACCGGCAGCGGCACGTCGAAGCTGTTTTGGATTCTGAAGCGATAGGTTACCGTGTAGTTTATATTTATAGTTTTGTAAGCCATTTTAGGCCATTAAATACCTGTAGTATTCCTTATTGCTCTTGCGCGCCAGCCCGAAATCAGCTATTCGGATGAGGTTATCCTTTGTGACAAGCACGTTCCTGGCGGCGAGATCACGATGGAGGCACTGAAGTCGAAATAAAATAACAAGAAATGTCTGCTAACGTAAGAATAAGTTTTTTTAATAGTTTCTTTGCTAAAATTTTAACTTGATTTTGGTGGAAAAACGATTTCAAAAACCGTAAAATTTTCTAAAAAATTTTAAATTTGCGCAGAAAATCTGTATTTTTTTTGTACTTTTAAATGACTATAAAGTTTTTACGTTTAGTTGGTAGTAAAAAAATATAGAAAAAGCTTACAGGAATACTCGTCAAAAATTCCATCCCCAACGCAATCTGATAGCCAAAGGATAGCAGATCGGAGGTGGACAGCCGGCTGGCGATTTCCTGGATTTCTTGGCCCTCTTCTGACTAAATCGGGGTTACGGTATCCGGACCACCTTACAGCATATGAGCACTTTTTCACGGCGGCCACGCCCAGGTAGCCACCATCGCCCACTTGGTTGTCCTAAAGGTTTTTAGGACGCATTTAGAGGCCTGCCATCGAAAAGACGAGCTCATCCCGGAATCTGGCTTTGCCCTCCTTCAACTTGTCGATGAGGCTGCCCTCGCATCGCTCGAGGATCACGTAGATTTCTCCACTAAAAGTAGTTTTAATAATCCTTTTAATGGTGTTAATAATCTAAAAAGTAATAAAGAAAAATAATAAAGTTAATTGAGCGTTTTTGGAATTTTTCTAGCCGTTAAAGGGACGTTTTTAAAGACTGTCTTCTTATTTAAAAATGAGAAAAATAAATTATAATAACGGATTCGAGATAAACACCATTTTTTAAACCCGAAACTCACAGGTCGAAGTTGGTGACAGCCCCAACAAGCGTGAGAATATTTGGGTGTTTCGGGATGTTGCTCATGATCTTCAGCTCCTCGTACAGTATCCCCATCTCGTCGTGATTTCCGTTGTGTTTTGGGGCCTAGAAAATCATTTAAATTAGGAAAAAAATCAATAAAAGCCAGTCAAACGAAATTCTTTAAATTTTCCGCTAACAATAAAAGCCGTATTTTTTTGCCCAAACAAAAAATTAGAAAGGTAGAAAACATATTACTGATTCGGATAAAAAGTCGCTGAACCGCCCACCTTGACGGCCACCGGCAGCATGTCGCTGATGTGAGAGTGAGGGCCATCGCTTGGGCCCTTTGGCCGCAGCACCCAGCCCATACACACTTTTCCGAAGTGTCCGTCTCCGATCTAAAAAATGGACCTTTAAGGTAGCTTAAGTCTAAGCCTAAGCCTAGGCTTAAACGAAGCCCAAGCCTAGGCCTAAGCCAAGTCTAGACCAAGCCTAAGCCCAAGCCAAACCTAAGCCAAGCCTAAACCAAGCTTAACCAAGCTTAAGCCTAAGCCAAAGCCTGAGCCTCAAGTCTAAATCTCGGCCAGCCTGAGCCTAAGCCCAAGCCAAGCCTAAACCCACGATTCTGCCGAGCTTCAGGTTGTCCAGCTGGATCTCGAACTTCTTGTCGTAGTAGATCTCGTTCAGACGCTAAAATGGGTATATTTAGTTAATACCTGAGATACCTCTTCTATAGGCTGTTTCTTGGCAAACTGAGGCCTGGGATAGGGTTCAGGAGGCGGAGACTCGCTCATCGACCGCATTGGGGAGACGCTGTTTGGCGCCAGGTAGTACGGTAAGTCGGTGCTTTGGGAGTCGCGGGACTTGTAGGATTGAGACCTGAAGCGGAACAGAGATCTTACTCTCTCTTTCTCTCTCTCACTCTAGCTCTCTCACTCTCTCATTCACTCTCTCTCACCCTCTCTATATCTCTCACTCTATCTCGCTCTCTCCCTCTCTCTCTCTCTCTCTCTCTCTCTCTCTGGTTCTCTCGCTCTCTCGCTCTTCATTCTCTCTCACACTCTCACTCACTCACGCTCTCTCTCGCTCTCCTTCTCTTTCTCTCTCTCTCTCTCTCTCTCTCTCTCTCTCTCTATCTCCACCCACTTCAACTCCACATCATTAATTTCGGGCAGAGTAGCGGGCTTTGACTTGAACCGCTCCCTAACCCGATCTCGGCAGAAGTAGACGAATAAGATGATGGCTAAGGGCAGACCAATAAGAAGTAGTGCTCCCATGATTATTAACTAAATTAACGGTAAAACGGTATACGGTAGAAAACTACCGGAAACTTGAACCCGCTGCCATCGCCTGTGGCTGTAGATGGTATCACGACGCTCGTCTCGTTCTGATGATCATGGCGCTCCTTGAGCACGACCTCACGGATTGGGGCAAGGACAGACGTCTCGAACACATTTCTAAAGGCCGAAATCCGATACCGTACTCAGGTTCTTTGGCATTATCGGGGGGAGAGGATTTTTTTCTTAGGAACACTGTTTTAAAGCTAAACAGCGGAAGTGTCTCTATCCGGGTTTTTACTATTCCTAGACACAAAAACTTGACAAAATTAAAAAAAATACAAAAATATAGATTTTTCTACCAAACAAAGGCGATTTTTGACCAAAATTTCGATATTTTGAAAATTTTCAAAGTTTTAGATAATTCTTCTAGTTAAATTCTAGCTTTTTTTTGCTAAAAACTTTGCAAAAATACCTCTTAATAAGTTACTAGGCATTTCGATCAATACAAAAAATTGTTACCCCCCGATAATGCGAAAGAACCAGTAGTCTTTTTTCGTTTCCTTCTGGGTCCCGCAGCGACTTCTGAATTTTTGAAAAAATATTAAAACCCTTTAAAACGCACTCCCATTCTTGCTGAATCTTGTTGACGTGGCCCATCGTGGCGGTGGTGAGAATTCCGAGGAGCACCGCCGAAACGAGCCGGCCCGCCCTCACATTCCCGGGCATCAACTAGGGCAGGGAAGAGGCAGATTGGCGCTTACAGTTTCCTGGAAATTAGCATAAAATCGATGGTAATTGAAGCGACAATTTGCATAGGCATGAAGGTGATGCTCAGGCTTCATTTTCCATCAGAGAACTCTGAAAAACTGGTTCCTGGGATGGCTCGGCATTTAGGGGAGCCTTATTTACATAAATTGCATAATCATGATGCTATTAATAACAAAAAAAAAGCCTGTTTTCAATGAGAATTTTTCATCGTAGCAAATTACAATATGCTCTGGGTTAACTTGCGCCCTTAAGTGAGCTACCTAATCAGCAATTTTTAATATCAGACCAAGATATCGATTTTAGGCAATGTTCTAACAGAGGCAATATGTAAATTAGTCGGAAAGTGGCGTAAATCACTATTTAAAACCTATAAAAAATTAGATTAAAAATGTCACGCTTGATTTTCGGATTTAAATCGAAATCTTTGTTTTTCTAAAATGACTATGAGAGAAAGAACTGAAAATTTTCAAAAGCGGAAGGAGATCAATATTTTAAATTTTCTAAATAGATCTTTTTATTAGATAAAGCTCAAATCAATAAAATAAAAAACAAAAAACACTATAGTCGGTCGGTTTTGATCGCGAAAAGTTGGGAAACGCTCAGGATGGGGCGCGGAAAGCGCAAAAAAGGGGGAAAGAGGGTAGGGATAGATTGGATAAACGTCGACAGTATTGATTCGTAGGGGGAGCCTGTTTTATAAAGGGGACGTTGTGTTTAGCAAATTGCGTCGAAAATTGAGAGGATTTTCTTGGAATTACAGGGCTTTCGTAGCGTGCGGTGTTTTGGGTGATTCAGAGGAATGAGGTAGACAGCTCAGGGGGGAAGCTTTGTTTATAAATAATGCTTTTGGGTGTGATCTTATGCTTTTTGTCTCTTTCTCGCGCTCTCTCGCTCTATCTCTCTCGCTCCATCTCTCTCGCTCTATCTCGCTCGCTCTTTCTCTCGCTCTCTATCTCACACGCTCTCTCGCTCTCACTCTCTCTTCGTTTCGCTCGCTCTCTCTCTCTCTCTCTCTCTCTACAAAAATTCGACGCATCAAAATATTTATGCGTAAAACGGCCCAAAAAATAGTTTTTAGATCCAATCGCTCCCGGTTCGACCGAGTTCAGAAAGTGGCGGATTCCTAAAAAATCGTATTTTTTGATATTTCTAAAGTCATTTTCTAAATACCGTAACCTACCGTAACCGTTGGCGCATTATAGTGGGCCGGGTGAGCATTCGGGGCCCGCAGAAAATCACTATAGCCACCACGGACAATGGGAGCAAGAAAAGGAGCACCATTCCCGAGATTATGACCTGAAAAGCCAAAGCCTAACCCCAAGTCTAAGCCCAAACCTAAGCCTAAGCCAAGCCTGAGCCAATACCATGCCAAACCGGTGCCAAACCTACCGTAATCCACATCGGATCCCGTGCGTCCGGCGGAAATTCACGCATTTTTGAGAGTTTTTAGAAAGCAGAAAAATTCCAAGAAAATCCGAAGCTCCATAAAATCCCCCGTTCAGACCCGCGGAGGGGTGTTGAAAAAGTAATTTCAGATAAGCTCCCGAGCGTTTTTCCGCGAGGCTACGTAATGACGCGGCATAAAAAGAGTTTCATTTTTCTGCCTCTCGCTCTCACTTTCTCTCTCGCTCTCGCTCTCTCTCTCTCTCGTTCTCATTCGCATTTTCAAGCTGAAAATCCAGGTTCAACGTATTCAATCCTTTATTCTGCCCGTAAATTCGATAATTGTCTATGCGTCGTCGCGTAGTGTCGCGTAGTCGTCCCTCAATAATCGCTGGAAAACAGCCGCCGGAACCAACGTGAGATCCTGTCTACTAGTGAGGGCAGGGCTTGGCAACGGCCATCGTAACAGCTGAAAATTGCGTTTTGGAGAGAGAGAGAGAGAGAGAGACAGAGAGAGAGACAGCGCGAGACAGAGAGAGAGAGTGAATGAGAGAGAGAACTATTCACCTGCCCTCATAGCAAATATCAAAAGCTTCATAACCCGTGCAGTTTCCGCCGAATTTCACTTTGGACTGGCAGCGGGGCCGGTCGAAATTGGCCGTATCGCAGAAGAGGTACCTTAAAAAGTATGGGAATTGTGCTAAATTTAGCATTAAAAACAGTAAATGCAAACTAAGGGCTTTTTGGCTAATTAAAAAAATACCAAAATACCCACTTCGACCCACAGTCCGGCCGCGCATTCGAACACCTTGGCCTCGACGCGATTTTATACATTTTATCCGTATACGCGTTGAGTAGTCCGTCCCTTGAAGTGTCGTTAAAAGACCATTAAAGCCATAATTACTGTATTTTTCTCCCGGGCAGATTGTGCATTGTAGCATTGGCAAAGTGGAGCGGCGGGAAGCAGTCGGGGTACGGTTCTGGGTACTGTACCTCGCGCTCCTCGCGGGTCTAAAATTGATCACTTTAATTTTCGTATTTTTGCTAAAACCTGGATTTTCTGGCGCCACATCTCCCAGATGAAATCGACGAAGGTGTGGTGCCAGAAGAAGATGACGTCATTTGTACTGGAATCGAAAAATGTGGCTCGATTTTTCGCTCGCATTCTCTCTCTCGTCTCTCTCTCTCCCTCTCTCTCTCTCTCTCTCTCTCATCCTCTCTCTCTCTCGCTTACTACGCTCTTCAGCTTTTGGCAGCAAGCTTTAACTCAGTCACTTTCTCTCGCGTCTCCAGCTTTTTCCTCGCTCTCCCACCCAGCTCGCGCTCACTTTAGCCACCTCGTGCTTGCTTTAGCCATATCGTGCTCTCTCGCTCTCTATTCCATCTCCTATCTTCTTATCTCTCTCTCGCTCTCTCTAGCTCTCTCTTACTCTCACCCTCTCTCTCTCTCTCTCACCTCGAATACGTCGTCTCAAAATCCCCTCCAATAAAGTAGTGCACATAGTCGTGGGAGAACTCGAAGAACCTCTCATCCAGCGGGTATTGCCTTAGCAATGGGCATGTCTGCCGATATTAGATTAGGATAGTATGGATACCTCTAGGGGGAGAGTGGCCGACAATACTCCCTCAATTTCTTTTTGATCCAGTAGAACATCAATGCGAGCCTCCGTGAATAATTCGCCTTGGGAGTTGTTGCCGAGGGCTCGACGGGGCATTAGGTTTCCCTAGAAATCGGAAATTTAGCTATCTCTGGATCTCTTTGGCTCTCTGTTTCCCTCCCTCTCGCTCTCACTCTCTCTCTCTCTCTCTCTCTCTCTCTCTCTCTCTCTTCCACCTACCTCCATAGTACTCATATTGGCATACGGACCGTAGACTAATAGTCCATCCTCGTCGACGTCGCCGGTAAGATGCTGGAAAATTAACTTTTAAGGAATTGGGACAGCTAGTCGTTTGCTTAAAGAATCTCTGCTAGCCTGCTTTTCTTCAAAGAATCTCTGCTAGCCTGTCCCACCACGCTGAAGAAAACGGAATCCTCGACGGTTGGTAGATAAGCATCTAGAGTCGAGTCCCAGTAAGGTAACCCCAGGGTGGAGCCCATTGGCAGGAAGGTGCGGAGCACGAGCTCGAAGCTGGAATGGAGGGGTTGGGAGAGGAGCAGGAGCTTAATTCTCTGCCTAAGCTAAGCGTAAGCCAAGCCTAAGCCTCCTTTGAGAGAGAGAGAGAGAGATAGAGAGAGAGAGACAAATAACAAGAATGAGAGCTACTTACCGTTTCAAATATTCTCGATGCCACGGAAAGAAGCCGGGTCCGGAGTGTACGCCCGCATACCTATGAACCCTCCCAAGTCTCTTGTATATCCCAGAATCGCTCATGGCCTTTATCGCCTCCTAAATTCAAGAATTTCCTCTCGTGTCTGAGCTCCACCTCAAATTGATGGCGCTCCACATCCGTGAGTGAGCGGTACTCCTTGCGGACGGCCGGCTTCAGCTCGTCGCCATTGGGGAGCACGCATGCGTCGTCGAGGACGCTGCCTGAAGGGAGAAATAGTCACAAGCCTCACGTCGAAGCCGAAGCCGAAGCCTGACCTAAGCCTAAGCCCAAGCTTAAGCGAATCCTAAGCCTAAGCCCAAGCCTAATGCCAAGCCCAAGCCTAAGCTTAAGCCTAAGCTCTTGCTCTGACGCGTGCCACCCACCATTGAAAAAGGGGCAGACGCACAGCAAATCGAGACAGGGCAAGTACTTCAGCTCGGCCTCCGTCCAATTGTGAGCCACAAAGACGTCATTATCAGGCAGGCTGTGCTTGCCAAAGTCGGACTCATTCAACTTTGAGAGTAGTACCTTAATTATAGAAATAACCTATGAAAGTGAAAGAGATTAGCTCCTTCTCTCACCCTCTCTCCCCTCTCTCTTTCTCTCCCTCTCTCTACCTCTCTCTACCTCTCTCTCCCTCTCGCTCGCCCCTCTCTCTCTATCTCTCTCTCTCGCTCTGCCTCCCTCTCTCTCACTCACCGGCGCATGTCTTGGATGTTTTACTCGAAAATACGGCTGAGTACTGGCTCCGTAGTACAAATGCCCATTAATATACGTAGTGTCATATATGGAGAATTCCTTCGGAAGTCCATCCAAGAAATTGAATAGATATAGGAATATTACAGCTGTTAATGGTGGCCTGGGCATCCTGAAAAATCTGATCAGCTTTCAACATAGAAGAAAATGTTAAGCCTCTTTTTAAAGGGGCATTCAAGGCAAAATCTGCAGAAAAATAGGAATCTTTCGGAAATACGCCAGTTTTGGCAACTCAAAAACTTAAAATCAGCATTTTGTCGAGCCTTATAGTGTACTTTGGGTCTGGCGAATTGCCTGACTAATTTGGGGAGGAACGGAAAGAGAAAAGAGGCGGAAATGGAAAGGGATTTCCCCGAATTTGAGATATGATGGCGCTAGACGAATGGGTGAGTCAGAGCGGTCGAACACGGAAAAGCAGGCGTTTTTTATTGGGATTAACTTGAAAGTACAATATATCGGAAAAGAGAGAGAGAGCGAGAGAGAGAGGGGGAGAGAGAGACAAGAAAAATTATAGAGGAATAAAGAGGATATGTAAACAAAGGGAAATAGATGGATGAGAGAGATGTATATAAGCGAGAGCGAGAGCGTGCGAAAGAGAGTGAGAGACAGAGAGAAGGAGAGAGAGGGCGAGGTAGAGCGAGAGAGAGAGAGAGAGAGAGAGAGAGCGAGAGAGAGAGCGAGTGAGAACTAGAGAGAGAAAACAGTGGGTTTTTAGTTGATGATAGATAAACAAGGTCAACATCAGATAAAGCAAGAAATTCCTGTTTAATGGGAAACAACTAGCAGAGATCTTTGCGGAATTAAAGGGAGCATGTCATGGAATTTTCGGTGCGCCCCAGGTCAGCTAGCAAAGGTCATTGAGGAGCAAGTTTCCTCGAATAAGCCAGGATTTCAATTCTAATAAGTGACTAGCCATCGGTTTATCTTCCGTAAACTAGAAAAAAGCTCACCGCTCTACACACTGGCCCCCGACTTCGGCCTCTATGAATCGATGCCGCCCCCGTTTACTCGGCCGATCATATCCACCCAGATATCCTCCCCCCTCCCAATTCCAACCCCACCAAAAAACCTCGCGAAATGAGACCGATTTGGGGGATATCACTTGTATGTCGTCATTTGCTAGCGTATGTTCTCTGTGTTTTCCAAAATGTTCGCCCAATAAAGTACAAAAATACATCCCCTGTATGGTAGAGATCGGAAAAGACCACCCTGCGGCCGAAAGACCACGGTTCGACCTTCAAGAATCTTTGATTGCTCTCTATTTTTCGCTCTCTCTCTCTCTCTCTCGCTTTCTCTCGCTATCTCGCTATTTCTCTCTCTCTCGCTGTCTCTCTGTCTCTCTTTCTCTAGCCCTCTAATTACTGTGGAAAATTTTCTGTAATCGATAGATGATCTTTATTATTTACACACAAACACATAAAAATATATGGAAAATAAAGAGATGCGATATTTTGGAGTAATTTAGTATCGATGGGGTTGATTTTGGTAGGTCGGCTCGACGTCGGCTCCGTATCTGGAATGAATTTTTGCCTCTCGCTCTCGCTCTCTCTCTCTCTCTCTCTCTCTCTCTCTCTGTCTCTCTCTGTTTCTCTCCCACTTGCTCTCGATCTCACTACTACCTGCTCTCCTCGTTTTCCTGGTTGTAGAGGTAGAGGTGGCCGAGTTCAGGGGCTCCGTGCTTATCATCAACCGGCATTTTTCCTACGGTGGTCCAGTGACTCTGGAAGATAAATGTTGATATTTGCCTCTCTCTCTCTCTCTCTCTCTCTCTCTCTCTCTTTCTAACCCCTTTAAACCGACGATTTGACCCCGGAAGTCGCGCTGATCCGTACAAGAGATGATGGATTCCGTTCCACTGCTGTTTCCAGGCACATCCCCGCAATTTCGTCTTTCTCTCTCTTTCTCCCTCTCTCACTGACCCTCTCTCTCACTCTCTCCTTACCCGTTTCAAGTTATCTGAAGGATAACCGGTGCGGAGCTTCTCGTACTGCTGGAGGTGCCTGGAAAATAGATATTTATAAATCGATATATTGATATTAAAGTCGTTCGAGATACCAGTGCCGATTTTTCAACGCACTTGTACAGCTTGTAGACAATGTAGAGGAAGAAGCACTCGAGGATGGCGATCGCCGGGTAGATGACGATGATCATGATACCCAGCAAAAAGGTGGCTAAAAAAGTGATATAATAAAACGAAAAATGGTTATGCAGGTTTTCGACAGCAGAAAGGTCCAGGAATCCATTAACCCCCAACCTTCACACCAAAAAGCAAAAAGAATTGCGTCGGCCGGGAATCGAACCCGGGCCGCCCGCGTGGCAGGCGAGCATTCTACCACTGAACCACCGACGCGGTGCGGTCGAGTGGCGGGAAAAGGGTTAGGAGGAGAGGGAGGGCGCACGTAGGGGGATAGGGGTGCTGCCAGAGGCGCATAACGGGTTTTTGGGAGAAAGCGGATTAGGCGGCAAATTTCACAGGATTTTTCCTAAAGAATCTTTGCTAGATAGCCTTGAATTTTCAATAACTTATTAATGTGGTATACAGCTGGTAATTTCCTACAAATTCCTGCAAGTTTGCCGGGGTTTTTAATCGATTACAGGAAGTTATTCGTGGTTTTGGAAATTTCAGTTTTAAAGTAACGCTCAAGGCGTTCCGACAAAATCTTTGCTAGTTTGCCTGGTTAGCCTTTATCTCAATAATCGATTACGCGATTTTATGAAGGTTCAGGCGTTTTAAGGGATTTTAAAGGCAAATTTTAGGATTTTTTGACTAGTTTTTCGTAGATTTCAGATTTGTAATTGATTACGGCATCAAAAGAAGTGTTCTGGAAAACTCGTTAACTTACAATCATCACTCGTCGTCTCGTGCGTAACCCCAAGAAGATTCCGGATGCCGGCATATGCCTGGAAGAGCAGCAGAAAGGCCACGATGATGGTCAGCACGATCAGGAACAGGATCAAAAAAATCTAGAACAAAAGTTTGAGTTTTTGAGATTGTATCTCATCTATTTAAGCATTTTTCAACGAACCTGCGCCGACAGATGCGGAATCAGCCATCGTGGACTCTCCCGACATATCGCGTACAGCATCAGGGCGATGGCCAGCAGGAGGATGACCACCGAGATAATTCCTAAAGTAATATTACTATATCTTTCTCGTTTTACGTTATTTTGCGCTGAAAATTTTAAAAAAGTTAGGTTTGGATTTTTCCCAGGTACCATCAAAATTTCGAGTAGTTTGGAAATAAGGCGCTAAAGTTACGGTAGTTTTTCTGAGCCACCGGGGGATGGCTACAGTATTTTTGGTATAACTTTTTTATTGTAAAATCTTATGCTTTGAAAATTTGCATAGATAGAGATAAATTCTTTATACATATTAAGGGAAAATTTGACGTAATTTCCAAGTACCACCAAAAGTTACAGGTATTTTTCTATACTTTGTAGCAATTTTTGGGTTCAAATTCGTTCCAGGCCCCTTTTTAGCGTTTTATTTTTGTTTTTGTTACGGTAAGGTTTGTTTTCTATAAAAAAACAGTAAAAAATACTCATAACTTACCAATTAGCCACCAGAAAAAGTACTTCGATCCGTAGCGCAGCCAGTTGGCGAATAGCCCGTAGACGGCCAGGATACATAATACGATCTCGACGATCGCCACGATGATGCCCGCCTTCTGAAAATAACATAAATGTCATAATTAGCATTTTAAAACGCCTAAAGTTATAGTTTTCAGGGTTTTAGGTGAAGACTACAAAATACAACTGGGGAAAAGGTATGACAGCTGATTTGAGCATGAGTATCACCGAGATTGCTTCGATTAACGAACCAAACTTTCAAATATATTGTTGATATCCCCAGATATATGAAAAAATCCAAAAAATTAAGCTTCAGCCTACGAACTACAAATTATTCTATCAATCATCCGAAAATTCCTCACCTTCAGGCTGGCGCACGGGATCGGGGCTGCCATTTTTCGAATAGGTTTTTTACGATTACCTCAAAATTGCTATACTAACAATACACTCTGGGGAAAAACTATAGAATCACTCGTTTTTTGCGTATAACTTTATTTCTAACTTAGCAACCGTGCTGATATTTTTAGCCTAGCTTTAGCATCAGTAAACCGGGTGCAAAGTTTCGAGACGATCGAAACAGTAGAAGATACTCGACGAGAAAATGGCCGAGAAAATGTTGTGGAAAAACTATAGAATCACTTTCTAAATTAGGAATTTCTGGTGTTTTAAGGCAGTCTCTCTTACCAGTCTTGGCGGGAATTTGCTAATTGAGGCCAGTTATATAATGCATCGTGATCGGTTTGACGCTGGCTGCTCCTAGGAATTTTCTCTGAAAATCGATTTTAACAAAGGATTTCATATTTTTCGTGGATTGAACCACTAAAACAATGTGATCTAAAAACTTCAGGTATATCATCAGAAAGAGCGTTTTTTGGCGCACATTTTGGTATCCAAAACCACTGAATAGCACCCTGACTTCTGGAGTTACGTCCGTTTCTAGCCACGGCTCCGGCCCGTAAAGCATTTTTCCGTCGATTTAACAGAGGAGGTGCGGTGTGAGGCCTTTAGCTGGTCATATTATCGTCATGACGGGGTTGCCGGAAACGCTTGATATACCAAAATATGCGCCAGAAAACGCTCTTTCTGATGATATACCTGAAGTTTTTAGATCACATTGTTTTAGTGGTTCAATCCACGAAAAATATGAAATCCTTTGTTAAAATCGATTTTCAGAGAAAATTCCTAGGAGCAGCCAGCGTCAAACCGATCACGATGCATTATATAACTGGCCTCAATTAGCAAATTCCCGCCAAGACTGGTAAGAGAGACTGCCTTAAAACACCAGAAATTCCTAATTTAGAAAGTGATTCTATAGTTTTTCCACAACATTTTCTCGGCCATTTTCTCGTCGAGTATCTTCTACTGTTTCGATCGTCTCGAAACTTTGCACCCGGTTTACTGATGCTAAAGCTAGGCTAAAAATATCAGCACGGTTGCTAAGTTAGAAATAAAGTTATACGCAAAAAACGAGTGATTCTATGGTTTTTCCCCAGAGTGTATATAAAATTGAAATCCACATACAAATGCGAAAAGGAGCATTTTTGGCCGGTCGCCAAAATCGAAACGCCAAGAAAACGGCAGAAAAACCAAAAAATTCAGCCCGCGGTTTCGCGGAGCGGCTGAATCATCGAAAAACACAAGAGAAATCGACGGGAATTGGCCGAAATTTGGAGCGTAATGGAATTGAATTGGTTGAGGGGAATTTTGGCATAGGTAGTCCCAATATGGGTCCCAAGGGGACCCAAATTTGGGCTCACCAAGGGTAAACAGACAAAGAAGGGGATCAGTTGGGGGCAGGCGGGAATTGGGTCGCACTCAATGTTTGGACACCTCATTTATTCGAGTGAATACTGTTTAGCTATCTTTCAGTTTATGTCTCTCTCACTCTCTCTCTCTCCCTCTCTCTCTCTCTCTGTCTCTAAGGCATAAGCCCGACTGAAGCGAGGGTGAGCAAGAGATAGAGCAACATAGAGAGATGCCGAGGGAGTGAGTGAGTGAGTGAGAGAGAAAGAGAGGGAACGAGAGGGGGGAGAGAGAGAGCGTTGGAGAGCGAGAGCGAGAGAGAGAGAGAGAGAGAGAGAGAGGGTGAGAGCGAGAGAGAGTGACAGAGATACAGGAAGCGAAAGAGAGGGAAAGAAAAAATGGCGAGCACTAGAGTGAGAAAGAGAAAGAACAGTGTTCGAGTACGACACTAAAAGTTGGCTAACTAACGCTAAATGGCCATTTCTAGGGTTCCGCTACGAAACGCCACTCCCCTCACGGATGAGTTAACAAAATGAATGTGGGAATGTATGGGGGTGGAGGAGGAGGAGGAGCAGCAGCTGAACGGGACGTTCTTTCTAGAAAGGGTATTCAACGTATAAAAACGCTACTCCGTCCGCCAGCTGTGAAGACGGAGCAGGCAAAAAAGTTGTGTATTTCAGGGTCGATGGACAGCTGGGGTTAGAATATTGAAAGAAAGAGAGAGATTGTAGAGAGAGAGAGAGAGAGAGAGAGATTGTAGAGAGAGAGAGAGAGAGAGAGAGAGAGAGAGAGAAAGAGAGAGAGCGTGTGTGAGAGAGAGTGCTCGAGAGAGGAAGAGAGTAAGTGCGTGATTGAGAGCGAGAGAGCAAGAGAAAGCGAGAGAAAGCAAGAGAGAGGGTGAGCTGAGAGAGGGAGAAAATGAGGGAACGAGAATGAGCAAGAGAGAGAATAAGAAAGAGCGAGTGAGCGAGAGAGATCGAGGGAGAGAGCCAGGGAAGGAGAGCTATATTTTGGCAGAAATCTTTAAGATCGATTGAGCATGAGAAACAGAAGAAAGATAGAAATCGAGTGAGAGAGCGAGAGAGAGAGAGAGAGAGAGAGAGAGAGAGAGAGAAAGCGTGAGATAGTTAGAGAACAAAGTAGATAGTCAGAGCAAGAGAAAGAGCACCGAACTGCTGAACCCAACATCACCAACAAAACAAAAATTGTCACTTATCGATCAATCGAAAGAAATGCCCGAGCGAGAGAGTGAAAGAGAGGGCGAGAGAAAGAGAGTATCTGGCTGGAGGGGGTGGCAGCAGGAGCAGCAGTCGCTCTCGCTGTGTAACGGGGGCCCCCTGGCTGGCTATTGGTGAACTGACTGAGCATTTGGCTGTAGTGGCAGAGAGGAGCAAGGAGCAAGAGGTAGCTATACCCGGGTCCCATCCCCCTCTGCCCATACAGCTCTTTTTCGCGGGCCCTTAGGGCATATGGGAACGAGGGAGGTAGCTGCGTAAAGCAAGTATAAATTCAGAAACGGCCAATGGCCGGGGTTTTCGAAAAAGTAAAAATTCATCATGTATCGGGGTCGAGCTTGGGTTGTTTGCCTGAAAAGTGTGAACACTACCATTTAGCCATGAGGTGGCACCTGGATTTTTTGGAGTTTCAGGATTTCATCTCTAGGAATCGCTGCTCGAAGACTATCGGGCGCGCGGAAGCCCTGAAGCGCTGCAAGACGAGTTTTTCAGCATTCGGTAAAAATCTCTGCTAGCTTGCCCTTCTGAAGCGATTTTGAAAATGCCATGTTTGTTTAAAAACCGCGTAACGCTCCAGAAAGCAACCCGCTTATTTGTCTTGCGCACTTTCTCTCGCTCTCTCTCTCTCTCTCTCTCTCTCTCTCTTTCTCTCTGACTCTTGCTCACTCTTTATCTTCACACTCGCTCTCTCACGCTTTCTCGCACTCTCTCTCTCTCTCTCGCTCTTTACCTCTCTCTCGCTCTCTCTCTCTCTCTCTCTCTCTCTCTCTCTCTCTCTCTCGCTCTCTCTCTCTCGCTCTGTCCCTAGTTTTCATGTTTCCAGTAAGTTTCCCAATAAAACATCATATTTCCGGATTCCAATTGATAAGAAATGCAGCCCATTTTCGGGTACTGTTGACGTAAATTATTACATGACGCAGGTGAAGAGATTCACTCGCCCAAAAGGCGCCATCCGGTGCCCTGTTGCGATCACTAAAAGGGTTACAGTAAAAGAGACGGCATGCTTAACTGAAGCTTGCCGGAAGCTTCCGTCAGACTTCCAAAGATCAAAATTTCTCCAAGACTTCCAAATTCACTTTCTTGTCGGCTTCCATCTTTCGGGAGCTGCACGTTTCGGCTCCCAGCTGTCAGCTCAATTAAACTTAACCCAGCTTTAAAAAACGTAAAGGTCACGTGACCGCGGTTTTGGAAGTTTTCCAGACAGCTCCTAGTTCATAGGTCTAGCTTAATATTTTTTTCCGCTCCCAGCTCCCAGCTCACGGCTTCTTGAAGCTCCCAGTCGCTGCTGAAGCTCTTTAGGGCGTAACATGCTCCCAGACACCAGAACAGCTAGCTTATAGCTCCGAGAACGTTTGAATCCATTTCAGAGGCCGCGCTCCAGCTCCCAGCTCCACGTCAGTTGGCCTCCAGAGAAGACCAGATCCTACTAGAATCTAGATTCTAGATTTGCCGAAAATCTTTAGATCCTAGAATCCGGTTTCTAGATATATGTTGAAACGCGATTGAATCCCAGATGGCCTCTAGCTCCCAATAATCCCGAGGTTCCAGCTCCCAACTCCACGTGATGACGCAAACCTTCCGGGGTCGAACTTTTACGATGTCCAGTTGTTTCCGAGTTTCCAGCCGTCATTTGGTCCGTTGTGTTCGGGGCATTTTGAAGCGAAGCGATAAGAGCCGTCGGATTTTTCCCTCCCCGTCCTATTTCCATTGCCCCTCCACTCGGTGCGAATAAATAAATATAGGGAATGGAGGAGGGGGAAGGGAAGGGAGAAGCATGGGGGGAGAAGCCCTTCCGATCGATGCGTCGATCATACAGACAGACAGAAAGACAGACAGACGCACACACGCATCCGGCAAACGAACACAGTCACTACTCGCCGCGCCTGCATCCACAAAACACCGTGGGCCCATTTTTGGAGTATTGGCCGTACTAAAAATAGTTATATTTTTGTATTAACGTTATTTAAACGATGTATATATGGTTGTATTTATAGATTTATGTAAGTCACCTCAAAAACCTGTAGGCCGTCTCTTCCGGAAACTAGAAAAATGATCATATCTCGACGAAGAAACGTCGAATTTTAGAAATTTTTATACCGTTCGAAAGCTTTTAAAAAGGCCAAGCTGATCTTATTTTTACTTTTCTAGAATTTTTCTTGTTTGACTGGAATTTGATAAATATATAGAAGAACCGGTCAAGTATTTATGTTTTGGAATATTTTTATATTTATATTTTTGCATATTTTTGCTATAATTTGTCAAAGCTTTAAAGACAAAAACTTGAAGTTTGCCGAGATCAAGGATTTTAGCGAATTCGTGTTTCAAAAAGAAAAAAGCGGTTATTTAGAAAGTCATAAATTTGCATAGGGTTTGTTTCAGGTTTTTTGAGCCGCTCGCTTTGTTTCTCTCGGCCGTCCTTCTGTCTATCTCTCTCGCTCTCTCGCCCTTTCTCTCGCTCTGTCTCTGTCTCTCTATCTCTTTTTCTCCTCACACTCCCTCCCGCTCTCGATCCAGGTCCTACGATCTCTCTCGCATTCTATCTCGGTCTCTCCCGTTCTCTCTCGCTCTCACGATATCTCTCTCGATCCATCTCTCTCGATCCATCTCTCTCGCTCTCTCGCTTATCTCCCCATCTCCCTCACTCTCACTCGCTCACTCTCTCATGCTCTCTCTCTCACTCTCCCTCTCTCTCTCTGGCTCCCCTAATTCCTCGTAATTATCAAAATCGTACTTATACCTGCTCCCTGTTTTCCGTTCCACATCAAATGATGTCGGCCGTTACTCTGGTCAGCGCATCGGTAAACATCGGGGTTATTTTGGGGTGGTTATGAGGCACACCCGAAACTATACGCACCCCCTCCCGCGGCAGTTCCCTCCATTTCGCGCCCCCACTACCGTACCCCCGGTTTATTAGGCGAGAAAAGGGCCGACGATCCGTTGGCGGGTCCCATTTCCCCACGGTAAATCACCCATTCGGGGAGATCGATTTCGGATAGAGGGATGGGGTTCGAGAATACGTACGGGACAGCATTTCCCTCACAATTTGCACAACATTTTATGGGGTGTCCCAAAAACTCGGTTTTTCTGTTTTAAAGGGACTGGGAAGGTAGGAGAGCTATGGATTCTGGGGGATATGGAGTGCCTCTGGGTTTTCTGGAGCCGGCGACACGCAACGCGCGCCTGCGTTTTCGTGGTCAAGCGCTTAGCGTGTCGCGGGGTAGAAATCTCTAGTATAAGGCAATTCCCATGTATGTATTCAAGATATTGGGTAGACATGGCAAGGATTTTTAGACCATCAAAGTGACAATTCTGACACACCCGCGACACGCAACGCGCGCCCCACTAGACTGTCCTAAAGGGGTTATATCGATTACGCAACGAAAAACGGGCCAACGCGTCGCGTGTCGCAGGCGCCAGAGAATCCAGTGGCGTAACTTGGCCCGCAAATTCATAGGCGTGCTTTGCTTAGTCCTTTAAAGTGAGCGCGCCGGCAACCAGAACTTGCGCTCTCAACCTCGCTCTCTTTCTCGCTCTCTCTCTCTCTATTTCGCTCTCTCTCTCTCTTTCTCTCCTCTAATGAACTCTGCTAGCTTGCCTCGATTTCTCCATGTTTTCCCCTCCTGCTGCACCCCTCAAATGTTTTCCAAACCCTAATGGATCCAAAATTAATGGCTTTCGATTGTCTTGGCAGCTCCACCCATGACTAAAATCATATTATCATTGGCCTTTCGAAATCCTAGGTGCAATTTCTTGCCTCACTGACTTGCGCGGGCCGGCTAGCAAATTCCCTTTGCTTTTCCCCAGTTGGATTCTACTGTTTTTCGATCCGTTAATATCCATTGAATCCATCGTAAATAGCTGATGCTCCGTTTTCAGATTGCCTTCACCCGCCCCGGTCGATGGGCGAGACGTCTCGACTCTCCAAGTTCAAGGTCAGCACTTTCGCGGATTGGGTGGCGATAATCTGTGGTGGATATCCCAGTGATAGCCAAATCGGCCATAGCAAATTGGTCTTCAAAATAATCCAGCCTTTTTCACTGTTTAAATTCAGAGTCTTCCGCTTTTAAGTTAAGGCCTAGGCCAAGCCTGAGCCTGAGCTTGAGCTTGAGCTTAAGTCTACGCCTAGCCTACGCTTAAACCTACGTCTAAGCCTAAGCCTAACCTAGGCCTAGGCTTACCCCTAATCCAAAGTAAGCATAAGCTAGCCTAAGCCCAAGCCCAAGCCAACCTAAGCATAGGCCGAAGTCTAAGTCTCACGCTAAGCCTAGGCCGAAGCCTAAGCTTACTGTATCCCTACTCTTGCATTTAGCTAGTTCCGACCAGCTACCCTTGCCGCTATTTTAAAGGCACTAGGAAGTCAGGAAATCTGTGATGTCAATAACGAACCTAGCTACCGTAACTCATTTCTCGGTCTCTTTCAAGGAGCCGGCAAGGATTGCAGCTTCCTTCTCGACATTCTGAAACCATTTTCAAAACCTCGCCTGATGCTCGTTTCCTGAATTTTCTCTGCTAGCTTGCCTCTAAAGAAATTTTAACTTTGTTTAATTAAAGGGCCATTGAAGGCAAAATACATGGAAGTCGGTTCTCAAAAAATAAACGTATTCCTGCCTTTACCGTCTTTCTAAAAACATTGTAAAGCCATGTTCAGAGCTTGGTTTGATGCTAGTTTCCTAAATTATCTCTGCAAGCTTGCTTCGATGAGGGTCGTCGACTAAAAGGCCATTAAAGGGCCGCTCCAGACAAAGTTTCTATGATTTTTTTGCGCGGATTAACCCGATCCCAAAATAGAAACTCGCACCCAATCCGGATCTTCTAATCACGATCTGTCAAAATCGCGGCCGGCAGCTTTATCAAAACAAAATCACGGCGTGAACCCCGAAAAATGCGTGGTATCTACGAGGGGGGCTACCGGGGCGGAAGCCATTATCTCCTCAGCCGATCGCGCCCGAACCCCGCTTTTTTGAGCGCACGCCACAAATTTTGTGCCGTTTCGGCAGGGGGAGGGACACGCTAAATCTCCGGGTTACAGCCCTTTACGGCCCCCAAAAATGGATAGAGAGAGAGAGAGAGAGAGAGAGAGAGAGAGGGAGACTGGGAAACGGACAGACAGACAGACAGACAGACGGAGGCTACCTGTGTGCTCCCAGTGTTTCGGGCTCTGGTGAAACAATTGATTGTTTCAGATCTCGCTCACTTGTCGAAAAGCCTAATCCAAGTCTAACCTAAGCCTAAGCCCGAGCCCAAGCCTAAGCTTCTTTCTAAGCATGATCTAAGCCTGGGCCAAAGCCAGTGCTAACCCGTGCCCACCTAAAAACGTCTCCTTGTCAGCTACGCCTTCCAACTACTTTCAAGCAAAAGCTCGTATCCTACCGTAACCCAATTTTCACGTCTTTTAAAGGGAGCGTGACAGCTAGACTTTAGACTTTTTCAAGCCTAGCTTAGATGGCAACCTCTAATTCCCGAATTAACTCTGTCAGCACGCCGCATAAAGGAATCTTGAAGGCAAAATTGATATAGATTTGCTTAATATCGTGGTAATTTCAATTCCCAAA